CTTATCTGTACCACCTGTAGTTGTAACGACGCTGTCTAGGTTAAGTAAAACAGGTGGCTTCATTCGTACTCCCCCCCCCACACTGATGATGATTGGTGCTTGTCGTTTTTGTTGTTGTTGGTTGGGTATGCCTATCATCCCTGTCTTCCCCATTTCCATCTGGTGCGTCATCTCCTCTATCTCTTCTGTCAGTTTGTTGGCTTTCGCCTGTAGACCATTGAGTTTGTGCAGTATTAGACATAAATCATCCACAAAGTCAAACAGTTGACTAAATTACACGAATATGGAATTATCTTCAAACATTCTGTGAATTTGTTCAGTGAACATTGCCAGTATCTGAGTAATCCGAGTTCAGCATTATTAAGGACTTGATTTGGACAACTTGAAATGTAGTTATGGTTTCAGTATTATACAATTAAAATAGAAGAGAATATTAGACTTACTCATTCCTGTGGTGAACCAACTCCAAAGTGCTCGCCCTATTGATTAATTGATTAATTAGAAGGGATGACTTTAAAATAGTCATTCAATCTCTAAAATGTGATCAACCATAGTTTAATAATTTTGGAACGAGTTTACCATTTGATTATTATGATTCTCTTGGGTTCTAAGTGGAACATAGGGCTTCGACCGAGACACGTCTCCAGTTTGTCCTACTTTCTGCAATCCTATTTACCTGGACCCACAATTGTCCATAGTCTCTGATCATCTCCTCACACAACAATCCTCCATGTCACCCTAAGAAACTTGCTCAACTCGTCGTTTCCCATCGTTATTCTACTGGAGCACTGGCCTAGCGTATGATGTCTTTCAACTGACTGTCTTCTCGGCTTGTGCCCAATCCATCTCCAATTTCTTCGACATATTTTTGAGCAACAGTTTTTGGTTTGTTTGCTGCCAGAGTTTCTTGTTCAAATAGGAATCCAAAGGATGAGGAATAAACTTAGTGGGATTATGATAATGTGGACCCAAAATCTCGTCCGTAAACAGACCATTCCAGATATAGTCTGTGCTTACTCTGACTAATAGTTAGACAGACAAACGATGAATTGATTTTATCCTTTCTGAAACATTCAATATCTCGAGCCAGAAATGTGTAGTACATTTGTCAAATGTTGTCAGTGTAAACTTCTGACTCTTCTGTTTGGATAAACTTTCCTATTCGTATCAGACAAGGGTGCTTATTATCACCAATGCTATTCCTAATTGTGGTGGACTAGATTACGCGTCAGACAGTGGAAAACGAGAAGACAGGGATATCTTGAACCAAAGTGAAGAACCTAGAAGACCTGGATTTCGCGCGTGGATGATTTATGTTTGATGTCACACAAATTCGAAGACTTACAAGCGAAAACCGACAAACTGGTCGAAGAAGCAACAAAGACAGGACTCCAGGTGAACATAGACAAGACGGAGGTTATGAAAATAACCAACCAACAACAACAACAGCAGCTGCTGCAACATCCAGCACCAATCACCATCAACGGGAGGGATTTGAAAGAGGTTACTTCATTCACTTATCCAGGGAGAGAGCATTGTCTCAACTACACGAGGAACGGACGAGGATGTCAAATCGAAAATCGGGAAGGCGAGAAACACATTCATCAACCTGAAACCAATCTGGAAATCTTCGTCACTCAGCCTGCATCAACAACAAAATTCAGATTTTCAGTACAAACGTCAAGTCAGTCAGTTCTTCTATACGGATGGATCAGAAACTTGGCGGCGGGTCACAAAGAATATTTTCAACAGCCTGTTGCAGACCTTTATCAACAACAGTCTTCACTGGCTCTATACTGAAGATCAGATGGCCGGAAAGAACAAGAACCAACAAGAAACTATGGGAACAAACAAAACAAGAACCAATCGCTCAACAAATATACAGGAGAAAGTGGAGATGGATTGGACACTCGCTGAGGAGGCCGCTGTGTGACATCGCGCGTCAGGCCATTGCTCGAGTGGAATCCGAAATGGAAGCGGCGAGTGGGACGTCGATGGAAGGGTGACATGGAGGAGATCGTGTGAAGAGGAATTTAAACAGTATGGACTAACATGGGTGCAAGTGAAAAGTACAGCAGAAGACAGAAGCAGGTGGAGGCGTGCAGTTGAAGCCCTATGTTCCACTAGGAACCCGGGGGAACAATAATAATAATGTGTTGTCCGTTAAGTGACTACTACCTCAGCGATGGGGGGGAGGGGCATGTCGAATGAACTAAGAAATGAATCATATTGGTGTCAAAGAGTCAATGCTTGTGGATAACTGTGGTTATAAGACACGTTTTATTTATCCGATAGGCAATCTAACCAAGGTAACACACAAGATAGAAGTATAAGCTCAAAAGTGCTGAGAGACCAGAATAAACTTGTTCAAAGCCTGGTTTAGCAGTCGATAGACCCATGTGTTTGCATGACCCTGTAACATACCTTAAGTGATCAATCGCTAACTCATTATGTAACAGGAGAAGACGAGATAACGGCTTGGATACGGAATGAATTTGCGATTTGATATACATACAGAGGGGAATTATGTACACCTCATATGAAGATCGTCATCTGCATAGATTTTCTGTGTTGTGCTACTTCTTTTTTTTCCTTCACGTTCCCCAGTGGAACATAGGGCTTCAAGCTAGTGGCTTGAAGTTTCTGTAGTAGTGTTTATTTTTACAGGATGGGGTTGCTAGCCTCATGCCCAAAGTTGCCTCTGTACCAGCATTATTTCTGACTCAGCGAGGTAAAGGAGTGCGTCGGCCGGGGGTCGAACCCCGGACCATGTGCATGGCTGGCGAGCGTCCTAACCGCTATACCACCGACGCACCTACTTCTGCCTCCTTCTCACGTCACACAATGTTTTGCTGCAATACTGTTTCATTTCCCCTCTCCGTGAGTTCATGCGTCTCTCTCCACTTTTTGGTAGTTTTGTCCCAATGAACTTCTTTTACAGACTACTGATAAATCTTGTCAAAAGCACATGCCACAATAATATATCTCCTGCTGTCCTAAAATTGGTCGACTTCAGAATCGATCGTTGTACTACCTACTATTCGGTATAAACTGACAATATCTATAACTCTGATCTCTTCGACGTTAACAGTAGGAATATGACACGTATGAGGAACTCACTTGATTCATCTGAATTTGGACGTAGTGAAATTTCTGAAAACATAAGAAACACAATTACTTAATTATTGAATCGTCTATCTGTTGGATTACAGCGTTGCACATATACCCATACATCTCAAATGTACTGCATACATTTAAAGTCATTACTTTCTACTTATGGATTTCACACAAAAACTTGGAGGATTTGGACTTCGCCGATGATAAATGTCTGATTTCTCACAAACTGGAAGATATGCAAGCGAAAAGCAACAAGTTGGCGACAGAAGCAGTACCAAAGATGGGACTTCAGGTGAACATAGAGAAAACAAAGGTGATGAAGATTCCTGGGCAACACCACCAACAGCAACAACAACTGACAACAATCAGCATAAATGGAAGGAACCTGAAAGAAACAACCTCCTCCACCCACCTACCTGGGAAGCATCGTTTCAACTACAGGCGGACGGAACTGACGAGGATATCAAAGCGAGAATCCGAAAAGCAAGACAAGCTTTCATTAGTCTCAAGTCTGTGTGGAGGTCAACAACACTCAGCATCAAAAATAACATCCGAAATTTCAACTCCAATTTGAAGTCAGTGCTACTACACGGATCAGAGACTTGCACTGAGCGTCATAAAGAGCATCTCAAACAAACTACAGACCTTCATCAACAGTTGTCTTCACTCAATACTATTCAAGATCAGATGGCCAGCCAGAAAAGATCAGCAACAGTGAGGGATCTCTGAGAGCGAACCAACACAGCAGGAACCGATTCTGCAACAAATAGGCAGGAAGAAATGGAGATGGATTGGCTGGCCATACTCTGAGGAAACCATCAAGTGACATCACTAGACAAGCCATTACTCGAGTGGAACCCGAAAGGGAAGCGGTGAGTTGGTCGTCAGTGCGAGGGTGACTTGGAGGAGGTCATGTGAAGAGGAGATGAAAGCGTGTGGGCAGACCTGGAGCCAGGTGAAAACGTTGGCAGAGAACCGAACGCAATGGAGACGCGTGGCTGAAGCCCTATGTTCCCATAGGGTTTAAAGGAAACAATAATAATAATATGGATTTCAATAGGATAGTAAGAAGACGTAATTCATTTGGAACACAAACCTTTTCAGACATGCATTAAACTACATACTACTGATAGACTGAGATGAGTAGTGAGATCAAACTGTGTGAATATTGAGAATTCGATGTAGCGTATTACCGGTTGGCTCAAGCAACTAGCGACAAATCTGGTGGTTTGAATTGATTCAGCTATATGGTCTGAGTTGAGCGAAGACAGCTGTTAATGAAGGTCTGTAGTTTGTTTGAGATGCTCTTTATGACGCGCTGGCCAAGTCTCTGATCCATAAAGTAGCACTGACTTCACTTATGGTAACAAGCAGATCACAAATTTTGATCTGAATTATTTCGATTTCCGAAGGATACTGTGGTGAAATTTCACCTCGATTTGTGTAAATCGTAAATTGACTTGCTAATTGTAAATTTGACTTCTGTTTTGCGCATGAGTTTGCAGGCTCTATTGAAATTAATTTCATGACTCAATAGAACTTAAAATACCAGCTGACCTCATTTTCATAGATGAAAGGAAATTTCTGTTGCTCTGTAAACTCTCACATCATCATCATCCGAAGGATGACAATGTCACACTTCACTGCATTCTGTCAATTTACACACGTATATATGGAGGACACTTTGATCTCTGCAGGTCGTCAACACTACAGAACACATTCCTAATTGGCTGAAAATACAAACAAATGAAATCCCCCCCCCCAAATTCAGTTAACCTTGGAAATAGATAGCAAAGCACATCAAAGGGACGACGAATCATTAAGTCAGCGTAAAGACTTCAAAAGTGCACTCTATAGAATATGAACAAAACTGGACAACTTACGTATCCCTGCTCCAAGCCAACTTGTAATTGCTTCAAGAAAAACAGCATACAAAATAAATAATGCGTAATGTAAGAAATTTTCTGAACGATTTAATATTATTAATAATATTAATCATTCTAATTAATAACAGCATTATTCTCGGCAAAATGTCTACACCGTGTACAAAATTCTCAGCATGAGTGATTGCGTAGTATTTTCCCTTCCTCTGTGATCTTCATGTGAAACTGTGGTTAATAGTTTATCATGTAATGCAATGCCATTCGATCTGAAGCACAGACTGGTCTCTTGTGACAGTACTACTTCGTCTCTGGTAGTTTGGAAGCTGACTGAAACTCTACTGGAGTACTTTTTTCTGTCACTCAAGGATTTAATGAAATGGTTGGAATAATAATAAGAATTAGAGGACATATGATGCATTATGTTTTTGGATGGAAACTGAGATGGCTCCAGTGACTTGAGCAGGCCTCCAGTTTATTGATTTGAAATATTTTCGCCTATCTGAAGGTCCTCAGGTTATTCAGAATCAGAGATAGGCGACTGAAGTTGATGACACAACTGAAAATGCTTCAAAAATGTCATCAATATCTTCAGCCTTTGTTATTATTCAAAGATGAGAACTTTGAAGTAAAGGCAGAATTGAACAAGACTGCCTGCTATCAGAGATGATGTCCCTGACCGCGATGGACTGGATTATATGACAAACAGTGGGGAGCAAAGAGACAAGAGTACACTGAGCCGATAAGAAGACTGGAGAAGACCTGAACTACGCGGATGATTTACGTTTAATATCAAACAAATTTAAAGGTCTACAGGTCTGTCTGTCTGTCTGTTTTCGACATAGAAATTTACACCGATGTGTAGCAGTTCAAGTCGCCACACTCCACGCAGCAAACAAAGCAAGAGAAGAAAACAGAAGAAATGCATATTAGAGACAGTAGACAGGGATATAAGACAAAAGGAATGTTAATAACGAAGAGCAATATAGTTTAATTGGAAATCATAAGTTACAAGGAGTGGATGCATCTGCTCCTGCCATTGAGAACGATTTTGAGCCATGTCACCAATTGTTTCCAACCATTGGTTTTTTAACGTCCCGAGGACCCCAACGAGGAAGTTTACACCTTACTTAGTGGCTCAGACTAACTGTTGTAGATTTCATTGACTGGTGCCATGTTTTCGTTTGACCGCCGCTAGCTCTTTCCCAACCTGATCCATCCTATATCAGCTAACATTGCCCATTGTCGAGGAAGGCGATGACTATGCATGCGTAACATATGTCCTAACCATCTCAGTCGATGTAATTTCACAGCCTCGTCGATTGATTTCCACTCCTTATCTAGCACTCGACGCCTAACCTCAATATTGCTCACCTTATTATACCACTTCACAGGTGAAGACTAATAGGTCGGCAGAAGAGATGACGAAGACAGGAATTCAAATGAACATAAAGAAGATAGAGCTAATGAAGACGCACCACCTACCAACAACACCAACAACAACCACTAATCACTATCAGTGGAAGGAATTTGAAGGTGGTCACTTCCTCCACTTATTTAGGAAGTATGGTTTCAACTACTGATGGCATGGATGAAGATCAGAAAGCAGGATCGGAGAAGCGAGAAAGACAGACATTCATTGCTCTGAAACTACTGCAGAAACCTACTACCCTCGGAGTAAGAAAAAAAGAGATCCTAATCTTTAACACTAATATCAAGCCAGTTCGTTCGTCTGTTCGGTTTGGAGACGGCGTCAAGGTCACCAAAAGCATTTCCAACCGTCTTCAGACTATGGTCGACAAATAACTTCACTCTATAAAGAAGATCAGTTAGCCAGAAAGGATAGTCAACAAAGAACCCCTGACAACGAACCGATTGTGAAAGAAAATAGAGATGCGCTGGACACACATTAGGAAGGCTGCTGAATGAGATTGCTCACCAGGCCATCGCTCGAGTGGAATTAAAATGGGAGGCGATGAGATGGATGTGTTTCCGAGGGTGAATTACAATAGATTGTGTAAAGAGGAGGAGATGTAAGCCTATGGGTAACTGTGAGGCTAGTTGAGCGGGATGAACTGAAGATTTGCCTGTTGAAGCTCTGCGTTCTAGTCGGAACCTATGAGAATTTTTATGATTTACATTATGAAATTCTTCAATAATCTCCGTCTAAATATTTTCTTCCTGTCTCTCCTACTGTTACTTCACTTCCTCGGTAGTTTCTCAACTTCTCATGCATTCAGTCGCCTTCAGTTAGTTCATAACAAAGCAGGAAGTAATGTAAACTCTCAGGATTAAAATAGCTGAATTTTCTATTTCAAAGATTTTCTTCAGATGCTAACAGCCTAATGAAATGAAACAAGCTGCTACAAATGCAGAAATGCATCACACATAAATCACAATGATATCAACTCAAAGGGCGTAGAAGTGAAACAAGAGACAGAGAGAGTGAGATATCAGCACAAGATAGATGTTAAATGAACAACCACAGCTTCTTTACACATAATATGATGAAAAGTTCAGCATAAGAGAGTGTCAGTGAATAGATATGATAGGTGAAAATAAAACATTTTCTTATTCTTTTGTATTCCTAATGGGACGTGAGGTTTCAAGCTCCAACTGTGAGTCTTCAGTAGCAGCAGTTTCATTTTTTATGGGGTGTGGCATTGCTGGTCCCATACCTAACCATCCCTCTTTCTTGCGATTACAGTTGGCTTAGCCAAGATTGGGAGTAAGTAGGTGGCCAAGTTACTGACCCATATAGAATAAATGACTCTCCAAAAAGGTGTGTTGGAAATCCAAATCTTGTTCTGTATGCTCTTTCAAATTTACTGCGTTGATAGTGATTGGTGCTGGTTGTTTTTCGTTGGTTATTTTCACCACCTCTATCTTCTATGTTCACCTAGAGTCCTCTGGTCGCTACCTGCCTCTTCAGCCAGTTTGTTGGCTTTCACTTGCCTGTAAGTCTTCAAGTTTGTGTGACATGTGTGACATAAATCACCTTCAAAGTCTACATCATCTAGAGTCATCTCAAAGATCTAGTGTACTCCTCTCTTCTCGCTCCTTATATACGGTGTACCCCGTTCTATCCAGTCCATCACAGTTACGAATATCATTGATGATAATAGGCGGTGGCCTGGTTTTACTCCTATCTTCATTTCAAAAGCTTCCCTAATTTTTCCATTGTTAATCACCTTTCACGTGTCACCTTCGTTTAGCTGCTGAATAAGGTCTAGAAGAATTGGGCAAACAGCACTGTATAGTGTTGAGGTAATTTCCACGTCACTTAGCAGTCAATACTGTCGAATGCCCTTTCAGATTCGATGGAGTTGAGGTAGAGAGAAGTATTTGACTATCATTCTATGCTTTGCTCAATGATGAGTAGTAGTAGTATCTGTCTGTCTGTCTGGATTCAACATAGAACTTGGCACCGAAGTGCAGCAGTTCGAGTTGTCGCGTTCCAAATACCACACAAAGGTAGACAAGAAAATTAGTGAAGAGAATCAATAGAGTTCTGACAAGTATAAGAGTGAAACAGAATGAGTAATGGTAGAAAAGAATGTGAAAGATTACAGAGACTGAATACATCTGCGTAAGCCATTGACAACGATTTTGAGCCATGTCACCTATTGTCTGCAGCCATTGATTCTTAGAGTCTCGAGGGTGGGCCCCAACCCGGAAGTCTGCATCTCCCTACCTGACTCAGTTTAACTGTCAAGGATTTCATGGATTGATGAGGCCATGTTTTTGTTTGGCTACCACTTACTTTTCTCCAATCTGCACCTTCATCAGCTAGTAATACCCGTCGGGAGGGGCGATGGTTAGGCATGCGCAGCACGTGATCTTTCTTTTCCTTCACTTTCCCCAGTGGAACATAGGGCACCTTCAAGCTAGTGGCTTGAAGTTTCTGTAGCAGTGTTTATTTTACAGGATGGGTTTGCTAGCCTCATGCCCAACCTTTCCTCTTTACCAACATTATTTCTGGCTTAGCGAGGTAGAGGAGTGCGTCGGCCGGGGATCGAACCCCAGACCATGTGCATGGTCGGCGAGTGTCCTGACCGCTATGCCACCGACGCAGCACGTGAACTATCCACCTCAATTTATGTAACTTTATAGCCTCTTCGATTGACTTTCCCTCTTTGCCCAACACTCTACGCCTAACGTCAACATTACTTACCTTGTAATGCCACCTAACGTGAGAAAGAGATCGTAGACATTTATGATCAAAAAGAGTCAACCTTTTCATGTCTTCAACTCGTATTGGCCATGTTTCAGAGCCATAGAGCGAACTGCTGAGCAGTACACACGTCCCTTGGTTGATAGTCGGATGCCACGCCTACGCCAGAGATGATGTAAGTTAGCGAAAGCAGCTCGAGCTTTCTGGATCCGTGCTGTGATTTCGTCACCAATCAATCCGTTGGTGCTGATACAACTTCACAAATAGGTGAGGTGGTCAACATGTTCTATCACTTCACTCCCTATCACTAAGCTAGGAGTTGAGGTAGTCCAGTCCTGTAGCAGCATCTTACATTTCACAGGGGTGAATCGCATGCCAAACATACGAAGATTGCTGCTCAAGTTTTTCAGAAGACTCTATATTTTGTCAGTAACCTCCCCTAACAGGACTATGTCATCTGCATATTCTAAGTCCATAAGACTATTCCCTGGTAACAAGTCGATTCCTAAGTCATTAAGTTCAGTTAAGGATACTTCCATTAGCATATCTATGATGAAGTATGCAAAGTAGTAGGTCTGTGGTTCAATGGTAGAATGCCTACCAGCCACACAAGTCATCTGATTTTGATTGCCAACTTTTCCTTCTTTACTAAGAGATAATTAGCTGGGAAGAGAAGGTAGGTGGGGTGTGAGCCTGACAGCCCCACCCCGTGAAAATAAATTCCACCACCACCACTACAACAACAACAAATGAAACTGCAAAACTTGTAGGCCCATATTCCACTCAAAACGCAGAACAATCAAAGAAAGTGATACCAAGTAACGTCTTTCAAGGAACAATGATAATTCATGTGTCAGTGGGAAACCCAATAGTGACGTCTCTGACTGCATCACGAGGTGACGTGGGCTCTAATCTCAGACAGAAGATGAGTTCGCAATTAATAGTGTTCTCTGAGCTGGTTGGTTTGGTTGCGGAGCTTTCGTCGTTCTTCTGGACAACATCCCCTTTCAGCGCAATATTTAGCACAAAGTGAAATGATTTAAATTTCTTCATGAGTGATTTAATTGCGTACGTCTCCCGATAACCATCTTTACATATGTGTTGACCATTTTCTATTAATTTGGATTTTAAACTTTCTGGTCACCTGATTTACTTTTTATTAGTTGGTATATTTCGTCTATATTAACGTGTTTGTTAATTGCATATTCGTTTGAGTACCAGGCTTTTAGGAATTCCCTGACTGAACTTTTGGTGTTTCCTCTGTTTAAAATTTCGACATTATCTCAATCAAACTGATGTCCATAATTGTCGATATGCATTGATACCAAACAATATATATCGTGCCTTTTCACGGCTGATTTAAGTTATAATCCGAATTAGAATCCAAGAACACAAATCAGCCGTGAAAAGGCACGATATATATTGTTTGGTATCAATGCATATCGACAATTATGGACATCAGTTTGATTGATATAATGTCGAAATCTTAGACAGAGGAAACACCAAAAGTGCAATCAGGGAATTCCTAGAAGCCAGGTTGGTACTCAAACGAAAATGCAATTAACAAACATGTTAATATAGACGAAATATACCAACTAATAAAAAGTAAATCAGGTGACCAGAAAGTTTAAAATCCAAATTAATAGAAAATGGTCAATACATATGTAAAGATGGTTATCGGGAGACGTACGCAATTAAATCACTCATGAAGAAATTTAAATCATTTCACTTTGTGCTAAATATTGCGCTGAAAGGGGATGTTGTCCAGAAGAACGACGAAAGCTCCGCAACCAAACCAACCAGCTCAGAGAACACTATCAATTGGAAATCATCCACCTGAGCTACAAATCTTCTCAATTATTTCAGAAGATGAGTTGCATCAGTGGTTGCAGATACAGCTTGCTAACGAATGTCAACAAGCAGGAAACGTAGGTACAGTGCTTCGTACTCACGGGCCTCCAACCAGTTTACTTAAGTTCACAGTGCCCTGCTGTTTCGAGCCAGCACCTAGCTTGCTAATGATTTCACTGGATACAATTCGGTCTCCACTAACACCAAGGATTGGGCACATGACACAGATTACTCATTAATGTCTCATCGATAAATGCCTGTTGTGTGTTTAAGTGATAAACAATTACGTCTGTCATCATGAGTCATGGTCTCTTCAAAAGCTGATTACCTGCTTCCATAATAATAATAATGGCAATTTCATACACTTAGTTCCCTTGATAAATTTCGACAGAGAAAGAAAGACCAGATTTGCAGTATAAAATGATATCATTCTATTACATTCTATTACAGTACTACATGCTCTATAAGCCAATCGAAACTGGATAAGTACCCTGCTGATGTTACCTCCGACTGCATTTATAAATTTACGTGAACCTGTGACAGCAAGTACATTGGAAGGACAGAAAGAAGGGCTTCTATCCAGTTTTCAGAGCATATTCCGAGGAACTTATGCTTAAAAGAAAGCAGATATTTACAAAGTGCAATTACCAGATACACCTTGTGGATACGCGTCATTCTGTCGAGATTTCCAAATCCTTCAAAATATTAAACATACGAAGGACAGAGAATCTACTACGATTTGCTGAAGCAATTGCAATCAAACGTCTCAGACCAAACTTATGCTCACAGAAAGAGAGTGTAGTCGATCTCTCACTCCCTTGGTAACCATATCACTTTCATTACACTGATTACTCATACACACTAGTGGGCTCAACTCACTAATCAAGTTTTCAAATTGATGAACTTTGACCTTGTTGAGTTGCCATGTTGTCACTGTTTATTAGATTTTTCTGTTTTCTGTCTTCTCTCACCCCCCACCCTTTTTATTTTTTCATAGTTTGATAGTACATAAATTGATGGCAACTTAAACTATAAATTTTAATCCTTATATTCCGCATGCGTTCATCTTATAATGTTTTCTATATTACCTTTCAAACAATGAAGTATGAAATGTTATTATTTATATAACCATTGTAATTTCAGTTTGCAGTAGCTGATGAGAACCTGTGAAATAGAATGATGGCATCATTTTATCCTGCAAATCTGGTCTTTCTTTCTCTATCGAAAAATAATGGCAATAATAATAATATTCATGCATGACAAGTAACTTACCGGTTGAACGTTGTACAGACGCGACGTTGGCATCTGAATTGAATAAAAAGTAGAATGAGTAAATAGTTTAAATATTATTTTTAGAGCATAATTGATTTCACTGTAGTCTAATAAATGTCATCATCAGTTAGAATGGAGAATGAAATGGAAAGTGGGCAAAGGGGGTATCTGTCGTCACTGTGTCTATTTATTCAATTTCAACTATCCTGCTCATACATGTAATTAGTTTTCCTTAGTAATAATGACACACAACTCCTGAAATATCATAAATAGACAGAAACACCACGCCATCTCCCCCCCCCCCGTCTGTTGTCAACTTTCCTCACCTTGTATCTCATCAGATATGATTAGAGGTCATTATAAAAAATTATTTGCTCACTGGTACAATCTACGTCCGACGTGATGGTGATGGTGTTAACCAAGAAACCTACGACTTACCATGTTATTAGAAAACTAATCGGCTCTTTTATTCTCTCCTATTTGCAACCTACGGATGGTGACAGTATTTCAATTAAACTTATCATCTTAGTTACTAACATTATTATTATCATTATTCTACACTTTTTATACATTTCTGAATTCACTGTCACTGCAAATACCAAAAGAAACTGCCAATATCAATCCTGGAATATTATTTTGGTTATATTTATTATTCCTGTTGTTGAGTAAATTACACTGAGTATTGTACGAAATACGGAAAAATCTACACAGAGTTACATAAGTCCTATTTTGGAATAAAACAGGGATATCCTGGACCGACGTGAAGAATCTAGAAGACCTAGATTTCGCCAATGATTTATGCTTGATGTCACACAAAATCGAAGACTTACAAGCGAAAACCGACAAACTATTCGAAGAAGAAGCCAGAGAAGACACGACTCCACGTGAACATAGACAAGACGGAGGTTATGAAAATAACCAACCAACCAACAACAACAACAGCAGCAGCAACATCCAGCGCCAATCACCATCAACCGGAGGGATTTGAAAGAGGTTACTTCATTCACTTATCTAGGGAGCATTGTCTCAACCACAGGAGGAACGGTCGAGGATGTCAAATCGAGAATCGGGAAGGCGAGAAACACATTCATCAACCTGAAACCAATCTGGAAATCTTCGTCACTCAGCCTGCATCAACAACAAAATGATTCAGATTTTCAATACAAACGTCAAGTCAGTCAGTTCTTCTATACGGATGGATCAGAAACTTGGCCAGTGGGTCACCAAGAATATTTCCAACAGCCTGTTGCAGATCTTTATCAACAGCTGTCTTCGCTCTATACTGAAGATCAGATGGCCGGAAGGAATCACCAACGAGAAACTATGGGAAGAAACAAAACAAGAACCAATCGCCCAACAAATATACAGGAGAAAGTGGAGATGGATTGAACACTCACTGAGGAGGCCGCCAGTGGGTGACACCGCGCGTCAGGCCATAGCTCGAGTGGAACTCGAAAGGGAAGCGGCGAGTGGGACGTCGGTGCAAGGGTGACATGGAGGAGATCGTGTGAAGAAGAGTTGAGACAGTATGGACTAACATGGATGCAGGTGAAAAGTACAGTAGAAGACAGAATCAAGTGGTGACGTGCAGTTGAAGCCCTATGTTCCACTAGGAACTCAAGGGAACAATAATAACAATAATATTTCGGAATAAAGCAAATCATTATTATTATTAGTAGTAGTAGTAGTGGTAGTAGTATTAACTATGAGAAGACAGTCATGCGTTCACTGTGTCTCTCTATGAGATCTTTTTGCATAGCATACTGAAGAGTTGCAAGGAGAGGAAGAAGCAACTCTGGAGGCGTATCTGAAAGAATTCCTCCACCTAGTATCAATTAGTGGCGAAATCACTTCCGTCTATCGATAATAAACAAAGCTATTTTTTGTCGTTGTTACAACGCTGGTGATAGTACTAGAACTAGTCCTTTCGTTATTACTAGTACTTCAACGCGCACCAACACCACTAATGTTTCCCACACACTGTAAGAAAACAGAGAAGATAGTGACTTCTGTTTCTCCTTGGCGAAACCAACAATGAAAATAATCTTGGTCTCAACATAATCCATAATCTCCGGATCATTGGTGGTTATTGTATAGATATCCTGATGTTTCAGAGAGAAGTCGTGGCAAGTGGGGTCTGCCATGATAATTTGAATCAGATGCTCATTGAAGGCACTGGATGGCAGTAGAGCTATATCAAGAACTGACAGAAGCTGGAATTCATGAGTCATTGAATTCTCACTGAAGTGACTGAATGATGATAACTGAGCTCGTCCTTGTAACCTCAGAATCTCTAGCGGAATCGCGGGTGAGTGTGTGTGCTCTGCTTAAGGGTCCTAAGCCAGGAAGGCAATAACAGCTGTCCAGTGCTCATCCTCAGTTTTAATTTAATTTATAATTGCTTGGTGTTGGTTTTGTCTGTCTGTTTTCAACATAAAACTTTGCACCGATGTGCAACAGTTCAAGTCGCCATACAGAAGAAATGCAAAATAGAGACAGTAGACAGGGATATAAGACAAAAGGAATGTTAATAACGAAGAGTAATATAGTTTCATTACGGACCACCATTGAACAAAGCTTGGAATGGTAGTCACCTCTCTATCGCAACTTCATCGATTTTGACAAGGTCTTCGACAGCGTCGATCGACAGGTGCTTTGGCAAATACTTCGCTACTACCAAAGGCTGCCACCGACAATTATACATCTCATAAAACAGCTGTACGACAACGCTGCATGCCAAGTAATCCACAACGGGAAACTTACAGAATCCTCCAAAGTGAGGACAGGACTAAGACGAGACTGTCAACTATTGCCAATGATTTTCCTGATTGCAGTAGATTGGATAATGTGACAAACAGCGGGCAATGAGGAAACAGGAATAAAATAGACTCACACAATAAACATGGAGGATCTGGACTTCGCCGATGATATATGTCTGATTTCCCACAAACTGGAAGATATGCAAGCGAAAAGAAACAAGTTGGCAGAAGAAGCACCCGGAGAAGATAGGACTTCAGGTGAACACAGAGAAAATAGAGGTAATCAAGATTCCTGGACAAGAACAACAACAACAGACAACGATCAGCATAAATGGGAGGAACCTGAATGAAACAACCTCCTTCACCTACCTACCTGGGAAGCATCGTTTCAACTACAGGCGGACGGAACTGACGAGGATATCAAAGCAAGAATCGGAAAAGCAAGACAAGCTTTCACTACTCTCAAGTCTGTGTGGAGGTCAACAGCACTAGTCAGCATCAAAAATAACATCCGGATTTTCAACTACAATGTGAAGTCAGTGCTACTCACTGTGCGGATAAGAGACTTGCACTGAGCGTCATAAAGAGCATCTCAAACAAACTACACACCTTCATCAACAGTTGTCTTCGCACAGTACTCAAGATCAGATGGCCAAAAAGATCAGCAATCGAGATCTCTGGGAGCAAACCAACCAGGAACCGGTCGTGCAACAAATAAGCAAGAAGAAATGGAGGTGGATTGGCTGGCCATGCTCTGAGGAAACTATTAACTGACATCACTAAACAAGCCATTGCTCGAGTGGAACCCGAAAGGGAAGCGGCGAGTTGGTCGTCAGTGCAAGGGTGACCTGGAGGAGGTCATGTGAAGAGGAGATGAAAAAGTGTGGGCGGACATGGAGCCAGGTGAAGACTCTAGCAGAGAACAGAACGCAATGGAGACGCACGGCTGAAGCCCTATGTTCCTCTAGAAATTAAAGGAAATAATAATGATAAATATAGTTTCATTGGGTATTATAAGTCACAAGCAGTGGATGCATCTACGCCACCATTGAGAACGATTTTGAGCCCTTAGTGTTGGTTAGTGACGAAATAGACATCGCAACCGATCCAAATCCCTACAGAACCTATAACTTAATCACAGTGAATAGCTTATTGTATTCAAACACTTTCACTCTCAGTTCTTTTTGCGTTATCTCTCTTCATATCATAAAATGAGGAGCGAAAAAGTTATTCAACTTTCCCACAACGGTAAAAATAGACAACACAGCCAAGTGACCTTGAGCTGACCAAACAGTCTGCTGCTCACTTTTACAAACAGATGCTTCTCATAGTCTTTGTTGCAAGTTCCACCATAAGCTGAATCATAACCCTACCTTAATACTACCCCAAACTTGACACTGAATCAAGATGAACCCATTATTATTATTATTGTTCCCTTGGGTTCCTAGTGGAACATAGGGCTTCAACTACACGTCTCCACTTGCTTCTGTCTTCTCCTGTACTTTTCACCTGCGTCCATGTTAATCCATACTGTTTCAACTCCTCTTCACACGGTCTCCTCCATGTCACCCTTGCACCGACGTCCCACTCGCCGCTTCCCTTCCGGGTTCCACTCGAGCACTGGCCTGACGCGCAATGTCACCCAACGGCCTCCTCAGAGAGTGTCCAATCCATCTACACTTTCTCCCGCATATTTTTTGGGCGATTGGTTCTTGTTTTGTTTGTTCCCATATTTTCTTGTTAGTGATTCTTTCCGGTGGCCATCTGATCTTCAGTAGTATAAAGCGAAGACAGTTATTGATAAAGGTGTGCAACAGGCTGTTGGAAATATTCTTGGTGACCCGCCGCCAAGTTTCTGATCCGTATAGAAGAACTGACTGGCTTGACGTTTGTATTGAAAATCCGAATCATTTTGTTGTTGATACAAGCTGAGTGACGAAGATTTCCAGATTGGTTTCAGGTTGATGAATGTGTTTCTCGCCTTCCCGATTCTCGATTTGACATCCTCGTCCGTTCCTTCTGTAGTGTAGTTGAGACAATGCTCCCTCCCTAGATAAGTGAATGAAGTAACCTCTTTCAAATCCCTCTCGTTGATGGTGATTGACGCTGGATGTTGCTGTTGCTGCTGTTGTTGTTGCTGGTTGGTTATTTTCATAACCTCCGTCTTGTCTATGTTCACCTGGAGTCCTGTTTTCTCTGGCTACTTCTTCGACCAGTTTGTCGGTTTTCGCTTCGATTTTGTGTGACATCAAACAAATCTAGGTCCTCTAGGTT